TTGGAGTATTTATAGCAAACGCGTTCCCAGGAACCCCTGAAGTCCCAGTCTGTCAACACTTCATCTGTATTTACATTTACAAATAGACCAAATATCCTGGCTAATTACCACAGTACAGGAAAGCCCATCGGTAACAGCTGTTTATCCCACACGTACTTTACTTACAATTTAAAACCTACTAAGTTCAAGAACTTTTACATTGCTGCGGCGCCTTGAACCGCAACCATCCCTGTCTCTCAATTCGGGCAAGACAATTCAAAAACAACCGGTAGTCAAGGAGCCAGAGACTCAGCACAGTTGATCATTCGGCCCCTGACGTCATGTAACACCTGCATGATCAACTTTGGAGGCAACAGGCAACGCCATTCAGGCACGACTGGGCGTCGCTGGCTGGAACTTTGCCGAGTCCTTTAACAGTCCCCGAACCACGACGTTCCGGAGGTGTCCGCTCCCTTGACACAGGGAAAATCCACCCAAAATAAAGTTCCCACAAGAATAACAACACAGCGGAGCCGGTGAGTCATAGGAGCAGCGTGCCGGCTTTTTACAGACCTCCAGGAAAAGTCAATGATCTGCCACGAGGTGCTGGTCTTGGCTACTTCCCAGATGATTACTCAGGAGGGGAGCTTGAGCACCGAGAGAACCAGTCATGGAAACATGACACCCCCTCTCCTGCATGTCAGAAAATAACAGCAATGATCCTCCGTGTGCAGGGGGTGGGGGAGCATGCAATTTCAAGCCATCCTCTTGAACTTGGTACTGTTTTTTTTTTCCCCACGAACTACTGATCGGGTTCATTTGCGCTGGCGTTCGGTTCGGCCACCCCATTTCCCGTTTTTCACCATTTAAACCGGGGCACCAAAGTGAATCACGGGCAGGATTGTCCAAAAATGAATCTCCACCATCAAGGAGTCAAGACCGGGTGCAGGAGGAAGCCAGTCAGTAAACAGGACAGGAATTCAGTGGTTTAAAAAAAGGACATTCACACAGCTGCTCTTTTGAGATACATATTTCAGTCATCTCTCCGCCCTGTGATCCAGAGGAATTGCGTAACGGCACAATCAAAGCTGTCAGCTAGGACTGACGCATGAATCTGGATATAAACTCTTGTGGTAAGGGCTACTGGTTCCTTGTTTTTATTTACTGCAAGCTATTGCAAAACCGTTGGCTGGCAAAAAAGAACAGAACACCAAAAACGACTCCCAGTGTCAACTGTCACACTGCCCAGGAGTGTCTGCCTGGGAAAGTTTAAACCTTCACAGAGGAAACAAACTTCATTTAACGCATATGATAAGAGTGCAGTGTTAGGGTACAGCTTCATAAACGTCTCTCGGATCACTCAGCATCTTTAAGATCTTCTAACCACAAGCTCGAATGGAACTGATTTCTGGGTCTATCTGCGCTTCAGAAACTCCACAGCACTTAGGAAGGGTGCTATTCCAAAGCCAATGTTAAAGGGCAAGTGCATAAACAGATTTATTTATAGGCTTTGGGTTCGTTGCAGACAAAAAAAAAAAAATCCCCAAGCTGCAGCATTCGGCAGTGCTAAAGGAAGTGGGTTTGAGCAGGTGCTGCTGGGTGTTTCAGAAAGCAGCGCGCAGAGCCAGGACAACAGGGGCTGAGGCTCGGGCCCCTCAGGAGACGGCAGAATGGAGACGAGTGTAGAACCTGACCGACGGAACACAGACTGGTGGAAATACATTCTCCCGAGCGAGTTCCGGTTTTCCCATTTCCATGTCAGCTCTCCTGCACGCTCAGATGGGAATGTCACAGCTCGGCTAAACACGTGGAGCCCCTCTCTCTCTTAGAGTGGAAAGGTTGTTAAGGATCAGAAGCTGATTTTCTGCCCTCCCAAAAATTTTTTTTGTTATTTTAAGACCGAGCAAACAATGGCCAGAGATCCAGCTGCAGAAGCTCAGCCAATCGGGCTTCAGGAATATAATCAATAACTCCCCCTCAAGTGTATTAAACCTAGACCCATCAGTCAAACTAATTATCTGTTAAAGAGAAAGCACCACTCAATATCCAACAACAGTATATGCCCCTAATTCAAATAAGCACACTATTTACTCTCCACGGTTGATGCTAAGAAAATGCTTTGAGCCATTTTATGTCGTCAAGCCCTTTTGAAGTTAAGGGTTATATGCACACAATGAAAAGTGTATGACAGACACTCCCTGAAAGTCCAGATTTTGACCAGACTAGATTCTCACCCAACTCGGTTAACCCACGGGTCTCATCCCAATTACGTTTTCACCCTCTTTAGGTTGAAGGCAGGGTACTGCTGCACCTGTAACAGCACTGTCTGATACTTTCAAAGCAACATGCAAAACACCCGCACCCCACTTCACTCAGAAAAGTCTGCTACAAACCCCCCTCTTCTAAACCAATGCTCAAAGTGTAAAAAAAATAAATAAAAAGGTCAAACCGCATCAAAAATGGAATACAGAACTGACGTCCATTATGCTTTGCAGTCGAGCCAAGTAGGGTGGCACAATGTTTGATGTTCCTAAATCTTTGCACAGATGGTGGCAGAGCTGAACAATTAAACCCTTCTAAAATGTTTGTACAGCTGTTAAGGCATTAAAGCTACCAGGGGCATAGAAGGGATATGCTATTGTGTGCAGTTCAGCAGTTTGAAATCACCACTGAAAAAAAGCTAAGTGATAAAGATCTCTGCATTAGCTGTCATTAACTTGGAAAGAGTAGGATTCATATTTTCACACAACTCAGAATATGCAGGAATTAGAAATGAATCCCCAGAAACCAGCTTCTGAATGTGGCCCTATAATTGTTTTAACTGTAACAAACGACAATTGCAGACCACTTCAAAACTCAAAACTACAGAAAATGGTGGACAAAACTAAACAGGGATGAGAGGGATGCTGAATAAGCAGGAAACAAATGCACAGCAGAAAGGGGACAACCGCCCTTGTCGCATCCTCCGTCAGCAACGCCTGTCCTCACAGTCACTCACCCTCCGCACAGCAGGAACTCACTGGACGGCCGCCTCCCTGATGCTCCCACTGGCAGGTCATCTGTGAGAGAGACGAGAAGGGACTGAGGGCAGCTCGGTGGCAGGCAAGGCCAGCCACACCAGACAGCGCAGGCGTGCTCACTGTTCTCTAGTCTGTGCTCTAAATGCACTGGGGCCACATTTACCAGCAGGGGAATGCAATGAAACATTCACTCCAGGAAATAACACACACACATGAGCCAAACAAATCCTTTCTTTCATAAAGAAATCTATAAATCTCGAGTCCAGTAAAGCTGGTTTAATTGCATAGCTGATCACTGTGCTAAAAAATCTTACATCAATGAAAAGTGGATGTAACAGGTTTAGCTGTAAACAAACAGGACTGCTTCACAACCTGCCCCATCTTGAAGTACAGGATCCTTTCCATGCTACAAACTAGTCCAGCCCTATTTAGGTTATTCAGATTTGGAATATCTGAGATTACAGTCGTATGCATTGTAGAACATCCATGATCTTCTTGCGTGTTTATACAGTGTGTAATGAGCGAGGAAGAGGCTGGTCGCTCTGTGCTCTGTGTAGAGAGTGGCCTGGCATGCACGCGGTCTTACAGGACTGCTCCGCAGAGATGTGGGGAACCAGGACGAAGTCGTCGGTGTCGCAGGAGGAGTTCTTGCTGCTGGTGCTGCCCCCCGACTCCTTGGACAGCTGCAGGTAGTTGGGGGGGCCAAGCGGTGGCGAGGAGAGCACATCCTCTGGCAGAGTCTGCATGTCTGGCAGAGACTGGGATAGAACGGGGGGGACGTCTCAGTTCGGACACCCAGAAAGTTACAGAGGCCTCGGGGCACGGACGGACATTATTTTCAAGCAGGTTACAAGTGATACCCGCAAAACAGCAGAGCAAGTCTTTGGATTTCCAGACCCTCTCGCACAAAGTCACTGAATAATTGCAGGACCGGCTATGTCAGTACTTTAAGGTCACCTTTTCAGGTTTGTGAATTGTCTTAACTAGCTATTGCAGACGTGCAAGTCTCCGTGTCAGGCTCTTGCAGGCGAGCCAAGAAAAAGAGGATTATACTCACAGGTGGCGAGGCGAAGCGACAGGAGGGGGAGCTGCCACAGGAGCTGTCGGACACGGAACTGGGGCAGCTTGGCACGGGCACCGGGCAAGCTGCAGGGCAACACACGCGTAACTGTCAGCGCCACATTTACCACAACACAGGACATTCGATCAACTGGGCTCTAGGGCCGGGCGGACTCGGGCTCTCCTAGGACTCAACGAAGTAGCTTTTAATGCCTTAAGAACATATGAAAGGTCACAAATTCAAGGCAGCATCCCAAGCCCATTGTGCAAGTGTGGTCAGCAATAGCAAATAGATCTAAGGATCTCACCTGACAGCAACAGTGTCAGTCGAGTGCATCTGTCAACAATGAACTCCAAGCACATTGTGGACAGAGCAGGTGAGGGTGGTGAGGATCCACCCTAATAAGGCTGAAGTAAACCCAGACTTTGGCTTTGTCTGTTGTTCAACTCGTTTAGATCCTCTTCCCCCTTATACTTACATTTTTTAATGGTTGATGAAGGGTCCAGGAAAGGATGGCTGAAAAACGTGTCTGAGAACAAAAAGAAAGGCAGATTATTCATACCTGCTGTGCCTGCAAGTCTTTCTGAAAGCTCGCAATACAAAACTTTCTGTTTTGGCTAGAATAGACAACACTTTTGAGCCAGAAAACTGAAATTCCCAGAATGTATGCCTGCATTAAGGTTAAAAAAACATTAACACTTGTTACCGATTTTAGGAGTGTTGACATCTAGTAAAACAACGAACTATTTGCACAAATACAGCCTCAATCTGTCTCAGTCTCAACAGAGATGCACAAGATTCTTGACGTGTACCTTCAAGATGTGTATGACAGGTTTATCTGTGGTCAGATCTGGCATTATTTACAGAGGCTTTACAGCTGTTATGAAACACCTGTCATTTTACATAAACATGCAATTCTAATACTTTAGCTCCCACTGCACTTCAATCAGGCCCTCTGTGAAGCCCCATGGACTCAGTGACCCTGCACACAAACAAACAGCAACACAGGGAACCTGGCCACGATTACAGAGCCAAGAATCTCGCCCTTGGGAAGGTGGCACACAAAGGCCAGACAGAGCTGGAACAGATTTCGACAGTGGCAGGCATTCCGCTGCATCCCTTCTGATGCTATTTATACACAAAGCCATGGGCACATATAAAATGGGCTGTTCAAGGCAAATGATCGGTCTGAATCTACAAACCAAGCGACAGGGCAAGAAATAGCATGTCTTGTGATTGCTGAGGTTAGGGGCAGATATTTGCAAGAGGCCAAAGCAATTCTACAATACACAGCGTTTGACATTAAGTGATGACAAGACTCAGTAATGCTTAAGTATGTAAGTGTTCGGTGTTGTATACAAGTGGTTTAAAAGATTTGCATGCAAAGTTTTTTCACAAAGCCGTCAAAGAAAGAACAAGCTTAATGCGCTGACTGACTGACCGAAATCCATGCGGTCCTTCTGGTTCCTCTGCAGTAGGCCCAGCAGGAGGTTGCCCAGGTGTGGTGAGGTCTCCCTGGGGATGCTGGAAAATCCCAAACACAACCAAGGAGAGTCAATTGGATGCAATGTCCACAGCAGCCTCACCGAAAGTAGGCCGCAGGACCGTGGTGCTGTTCGGTCACTGAGGCAGGCCAGTGCATGACAATCACTCAGGTTCATCTGCTCTAGCCCATCACAACGCACGGCCAAGAGTTTAAAGGTCAGCCTGAAGCCATTTCATCACAAGTGCTACACTGAGGCTCTTCGATTTATACCTTAGCAGGTAGAGCAACAAGCTGCTAGGAGCCAGGGTCACAACACTTCAGAGGTAACAGACCCAGTTCCCCCCCGCCTCATCAGTTGCCATAAAATTAAATTGCCTCTTCTGACATCCTTTAAAGCCCATGGACAGTGCAGATGGGCTAGACAAGCTAAACACCTCCTTTTGTAACCGTTCTGAATAAATTAACATCAAAACTGACACAGTAACAGTAGCAATAAGAAAAGAACTTCCTCCTCCACGACTACCTTCTGATGCTCACAGTAGCGAGAGGGGCATTACATATAGCACAGAAAAAGTCATGGGAAGTAAACAGAATTGGGCTGGCAGAACAATGAAGCACAAACACCACATACTTAGGCACCAGGGTCTTGTTCTTTTCATAGAAAAGCCTGAGGTCTTGGGGGCTGTTTGCCTGTAAAGAGAGAAAGCAGGTTAGGTTCCATATCAATGTCAAAATTAAAACCTCTCTATCCTTTCTTAAAGGCTTAACTATTTTCCGTAAACCCATGCAGATAATCAACACGTACTGCAGGAGTTCAGCAGGCCCTCTACTTACACACTAGAGCTCGCACTAGAAATGAAGTGGAAATCAATATTCGATTTTTCTTAATATGTACAAAGCTATTTCTTTCCGGAGGTTCACAACGTGACCCTTTTGCTCCATGAAGAAAATGAGACTTTGTACCTGAAAGGGTGGTTTCCCCACCAGACACTGATAAATGACAGTCCCGATGCTCCACAGGTCAGCTTTGGCATCGTAGTTCTGAGACATGATCACTTCAGGAGCCTGGGGGAGAGATGAAATAACTAAGAGTTCAGCCAAGGTACAGCAAGGCTCACAGTGCACAGATCATGCTGAAGGCACAAGAACCTCAGGACTAAAAGCAGTGTGGTACTCAAAGCTCAATACACTGGACTAGGAACAACAGAGATTTGAAATATAAACCAATGATCAAGGAAGAGAAGCAAAAACTGAGACCAGATACACAAACGGGAATCTGAATTAGGGCTGAGCTACGGGAAAACACTAAACCTTATTGCTCTAGTGACTAAAAACTGGAGCCTTGAGAGGAATGCTCTAAACAGGCAGATCAACAAGCTGCTAGGAGTCAGGGTGAAAAATCACCTGCTAACCCCGAACATTTCTATCACCCACGTGTTAAGTACAGAGGGTGCCATGCCAGCTATGATACCATGGCATCTTCAGGGTCTCAGTCTTGGCAGTCTGTGTGGGGACGTTGTGTCACAAAGCCCTTAGGTCTTCATCAGGGCCTCTGGCACTTCCTCACACACTTACCATATACATGGGGGACCCGCACAGTGTGGCGGCCATCATGTTGCTCTGCAGGTATCGGGCAAAACCAAAGTCAGCTGCAGAAAGCAAAGAGACGGCGTCAGCAAACAAGCCAGCGCTCTCACAACAGCTGCGACCATTCCTGGTACATTTATTATTGTCATCCGAGTGTCATAACCCATGATCGCGCTACAGAGGATGAAATTCCACAGTGTTGATTTTAGGACAAGGATTTCCCAATTCTGGTCATCATGGTTCAGAAACCAGAAGGATGTCCATGCCTTTCAAGTTCTAAACAGAAGTACACTCAGTTCATCAATCAAATCAAAACAATGGTTTGAAGTTTGGGATCAGTAGATGGATCAAGGCTTTCCATGCAATCAAGGCCCAGGTAATCCACTTACTAATATGTAACTAGGAACCCAAGTTCAGCTCTCATGCTGGACAATCCAGGGCTCCTACCCAAGTATGGCAGTCCTGCTCTGCTCCAGCTGGATGGTTACCTATTTTGATCCGGATCCCATTGAGGCTGGACTTCTTGCGCCCCACATAGGACAGCAGGATGTTCTGTGGCTTGAGGTCCCGGTGGATGATGCCCTTGCTGTTCAGGACACGCATGGCGGCAGCGATCTGCTGCAGGAACACCCGGAGCGTGTCTTCCCTCAGAGTGCCCTTCGCTGGGGGGGGGGGGACAGCAGGAGGAGACAGGGCTGAATCGCTGAAGACAACTGCAGCTACATGAGCAATGCACGACATGCTAACAAGCGGGCACTGCAAAACTGTGGCTATTAACAGCGTACTCCATGGACGTCTCTATAATACCACATGTAACTTTTACACGTATAAGAAAAGTATACGGTAGGGCATTTAACTTGTGGTTAATTCCCAGTGAAAGAATATCCAGAATGTCATGGGGAATCAGGAGTTATTTTAGGAAAGACTGGGATCTTGGAATCTAGTGGCAAACTAGATTAAAACAAATTCTAACTGATGCAGTATGCAGTAGCAGATAGGTACTGTATCGAGCGACTGTGGGGAACAAGGGGATCGTGCAGGACGAACGTAAATATAAAAACCCTTAATGAATTCCTGTAAAGACTAACATGACTGATTTAAAATTGCAAATGAGCATTTCAACAGCGAGCGCGTTTGAAGGAAATCTCACAGCCTGTCAACTGCCTGCTGAACTGTTAAAACATAATGAGCAACAGTACTACGTTGACTATGTCCAGAATTTGTTTTCTAAAAACAAAACACCAAACGACATTAAAATGTAGCTCTAGGCCCTTGAAAAAATAATTTAATTCTGGTCACTTATGTTTTTTTTTTTCTTCTTCAATTTTCATATGGAGGCATTCATAGTAATAAGCCTACCAAACACTTCTCACTGATACTGCGGTCATGGCTATATTTGAGAAGACAGACAACATTCAGAGTGCTGTCGAACTAGACCTTCACTCTGTATTGCACCATAACGGCCCCCTGAAGAAAATATTTTTCATTTAAATAATGGGCTCCAGATACACTGCCAGGCAGGCAGGGGGCTGTGATAAATGAGAAGCACAGTCTGTAATTCTCTCTCATGCTTACCTTGCAAATAGTCTGCCAGATCCCCTCCATTGCAGTACTGGGGGAAAGCGAGGAGAGATATTATCAGCCTCAGCACAATTATTACACAGTGGCTTTTGAAAGAGGATTACAAAAAGATATCCTTTGCAAAACCTACACTGAATTGCCAATTGTGCATCATTTCATCTTCAACACCTCTCCTCCAGTTGCTTACAATTTAACCCACCGTCTCAGAAAGATCAGAAGGGATATGGAATCTCTCGGAAGTTAATTAAACTTAGATCTGCTCACTAAAATGCTTCAATATTAACGCCAAAGTGATTGCCTATTAATTCCCTGGGGCCTGACGGTGCTAATTAAAGTAAGGTCAGATCTACACCTCTGAGACAAATATTTCACCGATAGGATTGCTGTGCATTATAGCAGTGTTCCTTCTGTTATTTTAGGGAAGGAAACAGGATTTTTCCACATCTTTTTCGCCTGATGACACGTTCACAAGACATTCACTTCATTCAAGACCATTACCTACGAGTGACCTAGAGCCCAGTTAGAAGCATCACAATTATTGTGTCAATTAAAGCAGCCCAACTGTGCAAGTCGGAATGTTGCTTGAACACAACCCCGAAGACACCAGGCCCTCCAGGGACCTGAGCCACCAGAACCCTTCACGCACACCCCAAAACAATTAAGGGAAGGCCATATGGCATCTGCTGTCTGTGCGTCTTTAGCCCTCTGTACCTCTTCCAACCCCAGTGCCTCATGCAGAAAGCTCAGCGAGGGGAAATTCGCTGTCCTCCTCTTGGAGCAGTGTCCAATTTAACAAGAACACCGGCGTCACATCCAGCTCAGAAGGCCAACTTGCCATGCAACGGAATGGAAGAGCGACATGCCGCCGCTGTGAAATTAATTGGCTTTCCTTTCCCCTTGCAGCTTCACCAGTGTGACATCTGCGGCGCGGAGAGAGGGGGCGGCAGAGGAGCTCGGGCTGACAGATGTGCTGTTCATCAGCTGGGTCCCATCTCCGCTGGTGCGTATTGTTTTGTGCTCCTAACGAGTCCCAGATCAGCCTGCGAGCTGTTCCATAACCAGCTTCTACACAGGGAGCCTCACTGCAAGCTTGTGTTCAAAATATGATCACGACTGCTCTTTATAAAAGGACAGCACGGCAGATCCGCTCAGACAGTACACCAATGGCAAGATAGGCGTATTTTACAGTCCTGTTTTACAGGGTCAAGTATTAGAATAGCAGCTAAAAAGCACACCTTTTGTTTATTTTCAAGGTAGTTTCAAGTGTGTTCAGTGCCTCCCTGAGACTGGCTGTGTATCTCCTGATGACACTGGGCTATCACTTCTGTATTGGGCTCATGTGACTCAGATGGAAACTGACACTTAAGGACTAGACATGAGACGAGTCAGCAGATATGGGGAGAGATTACTCATAGAGAACAACAAGGTGCCAGCAGAGCTCAGAATGACCCCTCATTATGTGTCTGGGCTGAGACTGTAAACAGGCGCGCCAGCATGTTTATCTTACCTCCATGACCAGAAAGACAGAGTTCGGTGTTTCCTGAAAATAAAGAGAAAAGGTTACATCTCCTATCTTTAGTTCAATAGCTTCATAAGCAGTGCTCCCATTAAGCATCTGTGATGGTTATTTCTAAATCCCATTCTTAAGAAAAATGCAGTGTGTACAAAACACTTCAGTGACGATAACAATTAATTAATAATAATAACTATACTGGGGCATTAGGACCCACATGGACCGCAGGGCGAGCGCCCCCTGCTGGCCCCACTAACACCTCTTCCGATGCCCTGCCTGATTTTTCCAACACTGTGTTGGTTCATGGATTTGAGTCAGATAAGCCAGGCTTGGAAGGACATGAAAATCCTAAATAATGAGATCTGCTATCAAAACAGAGTTAAGCTTCTGTCCTCTCCATTTCCTGTCTAAAGCCACAGAGGGAGCTCTATAAGGAAACCCCCGCTTGGCAAGAAATACTGAAAAGCCTCTCATTACACACTCACGCCCTCAGTGAGAGAGCCTGAGTTTCACTCTGGGGGAGACCAGGCTGCCAAGCAACAAGACTGCTTTCGGGGCCTCCTCTTGTCAATACTCCTGGGGGTTCCAGTGTTGGATTGAAGCCCAAAAACAGAATGTTTTCCAAGAATCGGGACTGAGCTGATTGGCAAGCCTCCAGAAAAGAACGTGAAGAAAGTAGAGAGAACTTCGAGGGCCTGAGGGAGACCATCGAAAGCAATTACACAAAGTAAATGGCTGATTTAAACCAGAAATGCAGCCTTCTCACTACTACGGTTTACATCATGCACATGAAAGACTGTGCTGCAAAGCAATTAAATTTATAGATAGGATGTAAAAAGATATGGTGTAACCTGGAACTTCCCAATCAACGCCACATTGCAACAGTGGTTGGCGCTGACTGAAATCCTCAGATACTGCTCCCTTCATATCCAGATTACAGGAAGGACTTTTAACAACCTTGCCATTTTTGTGCTGCATACAAAACGGCCACTTGCGCCTATCCTTTCACTGGAACCATGTTTCGCCCTTCTCATGAAGGCTGAGTTTCGATATCAGCTCTGAAGATCATGGACATTAAGGCCACAGCCTTCAGCAAAAAAGAGCAGACAGCCTCTCAGCTGCAGCGGTGTCAGGGGAGGGCAGGATTTCTGGCGCCCATGGAGAGGTCCTCCATACGAGGAAAAAAATGGAAAACTAACTGTACTGAAAAAGATTGAGGCACCTCAAACCCCATCACAAAAACAATTAAAAACAAGAAAAAAACAAAGCACAAAATAAGACAAGGGAAATGTGCACTTCACCCGTACCTGTGCAGCGACAGAGGTCTGTATCGGTGCTTTGATAGGACTGTACTGGAGGAGCGTTGAGGGCATGCAAAAGTGCAGTCTACGGTATAACCACAGATCCACTGCAGCACAAACACTAAAAAAGGAGACCTGCAACTAATAGTCCAACCATCCACACACCCCCAGCCTGCATCTCGTTCTCCCAGCAGCCCTCCAGCAAGTGGATAAACTCCCTGACACCCAGCCCTCCTGCTGCCACCTCCCCATTCCCAGCCCCAGAGCCCACTCCGGTATTTTTCCCAATACCTGACGGTAACAGGAGACCAGATCAATGCTGTGTCATGGGATTTGGCAGGGCGGACAGACACACGGGGAAGCCCACCCTTGTTGGCGCTGTGGCCATGAAACCTGTGGCTGGGGTTTATATCACACGCTGTTGACTCCCCATCCTCTCCGGCGCTGGGTGAAGGACAGGCCTGCAGCCCCCTGACGCCGTCAGACAACAGGACTAAAAGACACGTGCACCTTAACAGCATCCCTTTTATAAAAAAAACAAACTTTTTCCCAAAGTGGACTTTTCACCGTCATAAAGAACCCTGTGGACGACGCGTCTCAAAGCTGCTCTTCAAATCTTTTTTTTGTTATTGTGTTACATGCAGTATTAATGTTGGCCCCCTGGAAAGTTATCTGGGAAATGGCAAATTCTATCCTTTCAAAGCTCCTGACTGGAATCCCTGTGTTGATATACCTTTCCACCACCTCCTGTAGCACCCAGCCAGGTGCCACGTACACTTGAGGAAAAAGATAACACTGGGAACTGAACCTTTAATGACTGTTATTCTAATGAACTTTCCTACTAATGAGAAATAAAAGGCCTGAAGAGATAAGATGTCGTTTCAAACCCCTGAATACCTGAAGCACAAGAATAAAATGTCCCCTTTCCCCGTTCACAAGATTTTACAGGACTTTCCGAAGAGTTTTTTTTAAAGAGGAGGGTAAACAAATCCAACACTGAGACAAGACGTGCTAGAACAAACCCTTTGATAAACAACCTCGACAACTTCCTCTTTCACAGGCCTGAGGGACTTTGGACACACGCTGCTCACTAGCTGACTGTATCCACCCCCCACTCACAAACCAGCCAGCATCAGAGGTGCCCTCAGCCTTAGTTTCCTCACTGTGATGAAAGTCTAAAACAAATAAAATGTCCCCCCCCCCCCAAATTAGACTTGCCGTTGTTCATAAACAATCAGAATACTAAAAAGTGCTCAAATTCAAAGCTCGGGAACATCATTCTTTGGTTTCTGTTTCAGAATACTTACTAGCATTTCTATATCAGGGGAAACCTCTACTCACTTTACTTTGCTACAAAGACCCTGATGTGTCTGGCCAACACTCCTAGACAGATCATCACAGCAGGGCCTTTCAAATTCTACCTCACTCCTCGCAAATATTCACACATCATAGTTTCATTTTTACTTACTGTGCTGAAACAATACTTTAAGTTTCCTTTACACTTGTCTATCCCGTGTGCCCTTGGAGAGACTCTGGTAGTTTGCACTGAAAGCACTGCAACTGGGAGAAACTGCAGAATTGTTTTCTCCCAATTGTGGGAGAATTGTTTTGCATCCAAATATGCCCCTTGATTTCACAGAGCTGTGGGGGCCCCCTGGCAAGGTTGGGGGCGTCTGTTCACCAGAACTCCTTCTTGACACATGACTGGCACAAGATAAGACCACAGCCGTGCCCAGTTTGCCTCTGCAGTGCCTTCACAATCAGTTGTTATTTTCTCAGAAAACTGTGTAAAGACCTATACAAAAACAAAACAGCTGCTGCAGGAATGTTCTGCCTGTTGCAGTGAATAGCAAGTTGTTTTTGTTCATTACATCCCATAGGTTTAGTGAATTGAGCTTTGGACAGCATGTAATGATACCGGATCCCTGTGCTGGAGTGCAGTAATGCAATAACGACCGCCTGCTGGCTCTCTACTCCGGTTTTCCTAGAAACTGGTCTGGAGTTCCTGAAAACTCTACAGCTCCCACCCCAATCCCCCTCTCTCTCCTACAAATATATTCCCTGCAGCTCAGCCTCTGAACAAAAGAAACCCAGGGCCCTCGCTGGACAGGACAGACTGGGGCTTTAACAAGCTGGCACTTCATGATCACGTGACTCCGGCTCCAGTCTCTCCTCCGGTCTTCCTTTTCCGAAAGACGCACTTTGACACCTTCCCTTTTTTCAGCTCCCTTGTACAGCTGGTTCCACATGCAGAACTCCCCTCTCCTTTGTTCATCATTTGCACACAACCCTTCAGTCATTGGACTGGCAGACGTTTAAAATAGGCAACGGCAGATCAGGGTTACACGCAGATAGCAGAAAATCTGCCAACGGAAGGTGGGGGAAACCGTTCTCTGCCAACACCCCTGGCCCCATCAAGGCCACAACGGCAGCGAATGGCTATAAACTCTCTCGACATGCTCTTGGGGAAACCTGATCTGATCTTCCCCAGAGCCAGCCCAGATCTACAGGAGATTGTGGCTGCAATTGCAACCCTAGTTTGGTTAACGCTGAGAAACGCACACCCACAGTAACACAAACATTAAAAATTCCCAAAAATTTCACTTTTCACATGTTCTTGAATGTAATCATGTGAATTTACCCACAGCTTTAATATGCTTATATCACGCATTCCTGCTGTTCAAACGCTTCCTGAAAGCTCACTGTGTGCCAGGTACTATTAAACTCCCAGCCTCTCTCACTCTCACCTCACCTCTCACCTAGGATCTGAACCTCACAGTGCCTTCTTTCTTTCTTACCAAAAACCCAAACACACATTGAAAATCTACCTCTACCATACATGTCAAAAGCTCACTCCCCATAATTTAAATCCCTTTATTTCATTCTGATGATGCATATTTTTGCACATAACCTGTTACCTTTTTGTTGTTTTGCACATTGCCTGTTGTTGTTTTTTGCACATCGCCTGTTGTCTGTCTTTCTTTTGTTATCCAATTGTATTGTTGTTGTTTTTTTCAGTTACTACTTATGTCCGAGAGCTAGCTAAATAGCATTTTGTTATACCCTATACCTTTATATGAGTATAATGACAAACTTGAACTTGATTTCTCTCTCGTCCTTGTGCTACTTCACAACATAACACAGGGAAACTTGTCTGCCTGCACAGAGACACTGGCTTATTATAATATACCCCAGCAGTTAAGGTGACGTGCACCAGAGGCCTGGTTTTTGACAGCGACTTGCTGAATAAAAACCTGTCTGGGGATTTCGAGTTCTCTATGAGGCTGGAATTCAACTGCTGACGAGGCGCCTCCAATCAATGCGGCATCCATTAAGAAACATTTCCAAGAGGGCACGGCACATCAGAAGCTCGTTCTGTGCGACGAGGAAAAGATCACCACATGCAATGGTTGCAAAGCCAAGAGGGCTTAGGAAACCGGAATACAGATCAGCTGTCCCCCTCCTTGGATTTTACTGCACTTTGCTCTTCCCCACATAAGGAGAAGAAAGGATTAGTCCACACCTAATAAAAGTACGTCCTTGTGGCCTTTATGAAACTGTAAGGTCTCCCTGCTTCAACATCCCTTGTTCGGTTCTCTTTAGCACACAAGGACTGAAGGATCAATATCCCTTCTGTCAATAATGACTGCAAACATCTCTCTGTCACCTCATTAGCCACGTCCAGCAGCATCAACAACTTCCCTCTTCCAGTACTGTCTCAATCGGGAATGGGGACTGCATTCCAGTTTTGTGGAATTGACAGCTACAGGATGTTTGCATCTTAAAAATACACGCAAAAAAAAAACATGCGTTCTGCAATGAGGTGTGATATTGCTAAGCCTCATTTAAGATTATACAGGTAGAACGGTCGAGTCAAAGATTTATCACTCACAACAGGGGTGCCTGTATTCAACTGATGAGTGCTCAGAATAAGGGAATTCTTAATTGCCAAGATTAAGCAGAAAGGAGAGAGGCCAATATGCCGAATGAAAGATTGGCATATTTACCACCTGGCAGCATGACACTGAACTCCAATCAATCTTCATTAGCCTTCACCTTCTTTACCTCCCGCGGGGCAGTGTTTGATCTGTCTCTGCAACCTTTTGATGCCCGTTATCTTCCACAGGCGCTCCAGCACTGGGCAAGAGCAGTGGCTGAGCCTTGCTTTGCACAAGGGAAACAACTAAAACACTTCTTTCCTCCCCAGATGACAGCTTTTTATTTTGGAGAGGACAAACGCATGGGCATGTTTTTCCAAAACTGAGCATTGAAACAATCGCGCTTTAGACCCAGGCCTCTGACAAGACCGCATTTCTGACTGATTGGATGGCTGGCAGACATGTGGCATTGCAGCAAAACACCTGATGAGTTCTGTAGCTTTAACCCTCCGCAGGCCCCCAACAGACTGGCCGAGTGCTGCTCTACTGGATTTCTGATCCAATACGCAAGGATTGGCAGGCCAGAGTGCCACCATGTGTTCTAGCCTGCATACTAGCTGAGCTCCACGACACCTGCCCAGGTTACTTGCCCAATCAGCGCATCATTTAAAGGTAATTATTAATGCAGCAAGACTGCTGCTCACCAAAGGGGAGAGAAACAATTTTAAATTTGAGGGAAATCATTTTTTTTTTTAAAGTCTGTCAGAAGCAAAACATTACAAGAATATGAAGTGAGATCTTGAACAAGGTTGTGCCTCAAAACTCCCTTGTCCAATGCTATTAAATCTGAGAGCTACAGATGCCAATTAACGCACAGCAAAACAAGGAGACAGTAACAGCTGACTGCAACTGAATCTCAGGACATGAAATTACTTAACAAATAAGCTCCCTGATATTGGAACTGTTCTAAATACAGCAAAGCGGGGGAGACAAACAACGCTTAGGCGGAAATCCCAACACCCTTTTACATCTGCCATTTCTAAAGGCGGCACTCCATTCAGTCAGGATGTAGAATTAAACATACAATAGCGCTTCTATCAGAGATCACATGTGGTGTTTAATCCACAGCACAGCCACGAGATTTCAGCATTATGTAAAAGCAGGATGCTGCTTTAAACGTGGGCTGAAGAGGATGCTTCAGCCAAGTGCTCTCTCTTCCCAGTGCCAGAACGCTTTTTATTTTTGCAGCGTTACTCTGAAGAGCTTTGAATGGTGCTTCACACTAAACCCAGAGGAGGCGATTGAAGCCCCCACAAAGAGCTGCAAGGGTCGGACCTGCTTCTGAACTCCCTGCTTCCCCGCGGGACGCAGCACAGAAGGGCTGTGGCCCTTGTCGGGGGGGGGGGGGGCAGATTCAAAGCGCTGGGGGCAAGAGGTCCCGTTCTCCGATCTCCCCGCCGAAGGGGCACGCAGAGGTGGAAACAGGCCTGGTGCCACACGGTCTCTGATAACCAGCCGCCTCAGCACCCAGGAGAGCGATCAGGGCACCCTGTTAATGATTCGACACCACGGCCTTGCCGAGCGCTAACTAGAAGAGAGGGTTTGTGAGTAGACTTAAAAAAAAAACATTCCCACACTTCTCGGCAAACCGTTGAAGGTGAGAGACTGTTCCGCTTGGCTTCCAAACCTCACAATGCTACGTTCAATTGAGCACCGCAGTATCACTGAAATGACAGCCCTAACCTAATTCATGTAACCTCTCCTCAGCTCCAACCTCGGCTTCTCCCTCATTCCAACGCAAAACCCAGAGAGCAGCAATCAGGTGGACGTACCTGGACATCGTAGAGAGCCACAATGTTTTCATGTTGAAGTTCCTGGGAACGAATGAATACATTTTTTAGAGAAATATTTCGAAGACTCAGTATCGCAAACAAGGATAGCTTCAGGGCAGCTCAATTCAACAGCCATCATAGATGAAAATACCTGCGGTCTACCTTTCAATCGAGCACCAGGTAAAATGCTTCTGCAGAGATCTGTAAAGTTAAAATACATTTTGGTCTAACGCCCGCTGCACCTTAAGGGCTGAAATTCAGTTTTCAACTACAGATGTGCATGAGTGAACACAGTAAGTGTGACAGCGGTGTTAAGACAGCTCTTTGACATTACAAGCATGTAGCGAGACAGGAGGACAAAGAATTAACTGTACACAAAACCAGGGTTTGGGTGCAGGGCAGGTGAAGAGCAAGCCTCTATCAAAATGACAGGTGACAGCAGTTGGATGGTTAGGACTGTGTGTGGTTTTTAACACACGTGACATCTTGAAAAACATCATGAGAGCAAACTGCATTTACCCTGGGCTATAACTCATCAGCATTAAATCAGATAACTCTATTCTTGATTAACTAAATGAACGATGAAATTGGATTTGTGCTGCCCTGCTTCTTTAGCTCAGTCAGACGATCTCTGAGGCAAGCTTCAAGCTCAGAATCCCCATATTCAGTCAGCAGTGGACATTAACTCGGAGATGCTAAAGGCAAAGCGCTCAAAGGTCAAGTACATACCAAACCATTACTAAGATCAAAGAACTGTTCTATTTAAAGAACTTAAAAATATTAGATCAAACTTGTGAAATGATGAATAATTGCAGATTTCTGGCACAGTGACCTTTACATTCAGAGTCACAGTATGGCTAAAAGCACCCAGAGCTCAGCCCCTGCGAGACAGAGCAGGCCACGGTAATTTGTGCCATCGTGATACTGAGTCCTGCAGGTTTTCACTTGTGCACTTAATTTACCTAGTCTGGTTACTAAACAAAACACCCCTTTAGCGCTTTAACACCTCTAACACCTGAAGAAATCCAGCGCTTGAGGACCAGAAGGGCGTGATCCTGGGTTCGAGACAAGCAGAGACGCTCCTCACCTTGAGTATTTTGATCTCCTTGCCCAGCAGGATCTGAGATTTGGACAGGTTCTTCTTGTTAATGCTCTTGATAGCCACCTCCCAGTCCGTCTTCTGCAGAGACGTAAAACAAAGATGAGGCAATTAGTGAATCTCCTGCTTGTTTGTGTCCTTTTTTTTAATTCTGCAGTGTGAAACTCCGGCTCTGCTGTTACAATTCCCTGGTGTGGAGAAGACAATTGAAGTGAGACCTGCCAGCCTGCCATTTTCTAAGTGCAAAGCTGCAACACCAGGGGTGACAGAGATAACCCATTCAGAAACACGGACAAAAACTGACAGGCAGATGAACTAACATCTGCACTTTAGCTCAGAAGATTGACAGCATTTCCAGGACAACTACAACTAGCACTGATTGCCAGCTCAGAAATACAACACACCTGGCTTTCCTCCCATGTTTTCTTAAGAACGGCTTGAGCCAATGAGGAATTTTGTTGAACCCGATAACCTGGCTTCTTTCATGCGATAGCTGGATGAGTTGCCTGGGTTATTTAGCTAATAACTACCAAACAGGATAGACTGACCATAAGGTCACCTCTCATTCATAACTAATATGAGTTTTTTCTTTTTATTTTAATTAAGCCTTTAAAGTATTTTTGTAATACATCAATCCGGGAAAGAGTCTCGTTTCAGATGGGCTTTATTTCAGCTCAGGGCACTCGGACTCCAGCACAGAAGTACTACTCTGGAACAGCAACAGCTGCCCTCCCTTGGCTGACTGATCCCAGCCAGGCATGCTCAAGCGCTCATGCACTGCAAACAAGAGAACAGATCCAACCTGATCAGCAAGGAGCACAGGGCTGATGGAGCACAGACAGCACTGAAGGCAGCCAGGCCACAGAATGGGGCACACAGAGCACTCCAACACTCAAGCTAACAAATTCCCTACCACACACACCCTACATTCTTGAAATGCTCTTTTCAACAGTAACGGGTGATGAAAATGAAAATCAGCTCAGGTTTTGTGAAGAATTACAGCCAAGCCTAGGCACGGCTGATCCCCATTTCAATACACTGATAAATGTTTTCGATCCCCCAATTTCATCCCGGAGATTAAGAACCTCAAATTACACGGCTTCTGACGGTATAAAACCAGGAAGTGCAGATAATCCCTCGTCACTCCCACAGTGCCCCTCCAGACAGCCTGCTCTAGTCACAGACCACCGTGAGATTGCCTTAAAGAAATGCCACGGGCCACGTTCTCAAACGGCGGTGTGAAACGGATCACGTGTAGATGGGCAACTCCGGTATCGGAGAACCGGCCGCATGGACTGAGAAGCAACGGAAAGCTTCTCTTGCAGTGGAATGACAGATCCTGCCCATTTCTCCAGTCTGGAAATATTCCTATAAATAAACGCCTGTTCAGGAATGAGAGATATAAATATATGGTCACAAGTCTGGATGTGTCTCTATCCTCAGGCATTCTCGTGACACACACCTATTAACACCAGCCTCAATGTCACAGAGGTCAAGCGCGGTCAGTCAGAGGAATATTTATGCCGGTATGATATACTCCCACATCATCTCGCTCCTGTTTGCATTTGGAAAGAGGCACTGGCCCGTACAAAGCAAGATTCCCCTGAACTCACTTCCCCCCTTCGATAATCGAATGTCGAAAAATCACCAGCGCCCACAATTCAGTACCTTGTAAGGACACCAAAGAAATTAGGGCATAAAAGCCTTGGATAGAAATGATGAAGGTGTAAATCCCAAAAACTGACCCTTCTCCCTTTTAAATACTGAAGCTGAAGGGTATAAAAATAAGAAAGGTGACAAACAAGAGGTGGCCATTTATCCCAATCTCCTCATTGGTTGCAACTAGCAAAAAGACCCAACGATCATACAGTCATTTCTTGAAAGTGACAGCATTGAACAGAACAATATTACTTGTTCCACACACCCACAGCCCTACAGGGCAAACCCACTATACAGTAAATGCATTAACCCCATATTGCACCTAGTAACGAAAGAAGAGATTAATAGTAACCTCAGCATTAAGCGTCCCATATGAGAATTATGTCATCTCTCTTAATGTTAAACGCCTTGCGAGCCGCAGTTGTAAGACAAATGCTTGGTTGCACCTACACGTTACCCTGCAACTCTGCAGATTTCTGGTGGTGCAGCGCATGTTAATTGCAGGCACAGCAGAGCAGGCCGACCTGAGCTCAGCTCCAAGCTAAATGGAGCGAGCCTGAATTTCTGACCTGCCAGACGCACCCAACCAAGACGAGTCCTGGCTAACTGGGTTTCACTGCAACCCCTGCGACGCCTTAATTGGTCATCATGGGAGCCACAACCTGCAAACTTTCGGTGGCAACCTTCATACATCATGCAATCTACACTGCAGGGCTGTTCCCAGAACAAACTGGTAGAAGTATTTTGCTGAGGAAGACGACAGCTGCTCGTCTAGGATTTGAACCCGGCACCCTCCAGACCAAAGCCCAGAGAGTCACATGCTTTGTCCGAATACATCTCTGTAGAAATGATCCAGAAAACCTGATTCCTGATGCATTCACCTATCCTCTGTATGTGCAGCATCAGAAGTGAACTCGCTCTCCCAGGTTTTGTTAGGTCCATTTGCTCTTATCCCAATCAGATTTTGCCTATATTTTATATATTCCACCATTAAATAGCATTTTCTTCCTAAACCTGTGGAGGTGTCTTTAATGGGTATATATTTATTATGCAAGAAAAATTCGCTTTCAAACGGTACAGTGATATAGCATGCATACAAGAAATTCCTGGAACATGGGACATGTGGGCATCTTTATGGAGGAGGCTGAAGACAACATTACGCAAATTGCAAGCAAGCATGCATGCATGCACGCTTTGTGCAGGCCAGCCCTGAAACGGTCTCACTCCACAGCCGCTCGGCGCTGTCAATGAAAAGCCCCAAGTGGAGATATTAGACCATGTCACCACCACCTCAGCTACGTCACCACGAGCTGTTCAATGGTATAGCCGTCCCCCGCACCTCTTTATGAATGGCAGTGTGCGATATAACCTCTCCCTGCTCCCGGAACGGAGGCTATAGAAAAATAAATGAACCCAAGCACCTTTTCTGGAATTGTGTTTTAATTTCTGGCGATAAACCGCGAATGGTTTAGGTTTCCCCCCCGTCTGCACGAATATCTGCGAGCCCTCACCAGCAGGACTATCAATAATAATACCACCACCTACAATAATGATTGTTTTCCTTGTACCGGGGTTGACCCAGTTTCCAAATCAATGCTGCCCGCACATACTTGCATAACTGTGAAGGCTTACCTTCCTATGTCGGCCTTTGAATACCACTGCAAAGGCTCCGTGTCCGACAAGGTCCTTCCTACTGTACTCAAAATCACCAACTGCCTCCATTTCTCACCCTCCTTCAAGGAATTCAAGTTAATATATTTGCCTCGGAGCTCTTCTTTTAAGCGTCCAGTTGTTGTGGTTTTTTGTTTATCAGATGTTACGCTCCTCCGTCAACCACATCACATTTTCCGCGTTTGTCATGTTTTTTAAATTTGTCCGGCGTCTTGTCGCACCGCACCACCTGTGACAGAAGTCCCATCAAATCGGATTTCATTTGTTTCTGGTTAAAAACAAAACAAAAACGAAAATGCACAGCAAAAACTGACTGCAGAGCACTCCTCTCGAAGCGCAATGGTGGAAAGAAAGGTCGTCTTTTCAAGATCGTAATAATACTCTTACTGGAGGCACGTCGAGGTGTACGGATTCCTCATTTTCTGTGTCCAGGAACAGATTTACAGCCATTTCGTTTCGCAAACTTGTGAGTGGAAGTATCCGGAGTACCGAGGGCACATAAAATACCCGCACACAAAAAATCAGGTTTGAAGATCAACGGTCGTCATTTCTGACCTAGTTAGCCGTCTTGCTACTCCAAAAATATCATACTCGCGATAAATAAAACCCCGGTGCTTTCAGATTGTCTCCCACTACTTCAAAAACACAGGTTTTTTTTGAAATCTCAAGCAAAACCTTGAGTTTTGACAGTTCAATACTGGCATGGTGTGCGCGTAAAAAAATCCATTGAAGTATCGGAGCAAGGCACGACGCTGTCGAGTCGGTTCCTAACCTTTAATATTTGATTATTTTGCCTTTGCTTACAGCACCAAGCAGGAACTGGTTTCTTGAAGACATTTCTCCTCTAATCGAAATTTCCTCTGGGAAAATTCCGAGTAACGGAAGAAAAACATATCACTTGTCAAGACATTAAAACCCGCATCTCTGCCCCTCGCAATCCTGTGTCGGTTACAAAGAAAGCCTGGTGAACTTTTGGAGTTGGTAACACGTCTGCGTCCTTTAAAAAAATATATGTATACGCGTCAAATCCAGGCAGAAAGGTATATCTTCTTATGCTGGTGTCTTATTTTGCGGATCCTCGGTTTTCTTTACGTTACACAGCGACAGTACCGGGACATCAGCCCGTCACATCGATTTTACTTCAGATATTTGGGAGGGCAAGAAAACCAGGCGGTAAGAAAAAGGCAGGGAAGAGAATTTATTCTTCGTTTGTGGATACAACAACCTTGCCTGAAATTACGTCTCACTTGGCTCACTATTACTTAAAATGACTTTATTTTCCTCTTTCTCTCTCTGCCGTATTACAGCTCCGCTGCCCACAGCAGCTACACAATAAACTGAAGCCTCTTCCGCAGCTACCTCCATATATACATCCGCGGAGTTTTTTTTTAGCCTTCCGCCGTGAGATGTAGTCCTCACATTACACTGTTTTTATTTCAAATTATTTGTTTCCGAGTTAGTTAGTTTCTTAACGGGTGTTCTTTGTGACGCATAAAACTCCGCGGCCGACGCTGGTGTGTCGTTTCGAGCGTGTGTGTGTGTGTGGGAGGGGGATAACCTCCTGTTTTCCTTGATTTTTGGAAATACGGGGCACGGAGGCAACGACAAAGGAGAGGCGTGATTCGAATTCTAGAAACATTACGTCATGTTCTCGAAGCGGAAAGCCACGAAACGAGCTGGGGTCTACGTAGAAACACTAGCGTACGTTTCGCGCAAGGGGCACAGAGCTCAAACTGTGGGTCTCAGGTGAAACTTCACACTTATTTTGACTTCCATTCATATTTAAACGATGGAGTGGGGTGAGATAGCCAGAGGCATTCAGGGCTTTCTTTCAGTCTATTTTGGCTATAACAGCAGGGTGCCAATGAGCGATTTTAATCCCTACCCTGAGTAAACTGTCCTTCAGGTGCAAATTGTTTTTTGCTATTTCTAGGCGAAGCTAAAATCACACGTTTTCAATATTTTTTTTTTGTAATTTATGAGGTACACTGATGCTCCAAATGCTTCCTGACTGTGCAAGGCTGAATTTAATATTTGATGACGCAAATCAGTGTTGTTTACCAGAAAAAAAATCATTTGATTTTTATGGCAGAACTCTTAGTCCCAGATGTGACAAACTGCTTTTTCCGGTCTGAATTGGCTGAGTTCCATGTTAGGACCTGTGGATAATACCTGAAACAATGTGGCCCCTATTCTTGCAAGAGATCTCCCGCGATTCTCCAAAATCATAGATAACACTAAACCCTATGTAAGATCATATTTTACAGTTAAAACAACAACAGACAAAATGGTCCTAAATACAGAATGGTAGATCATTCTCTGTGCAGAGTTTTTTTTAGCATGATTCAGAAAGAAACATATAGCTGTAGCTTATCATTCCTATGGTGTGTGTTTTTATTGAATGTTTTATTTGACTTTCACCTAGAATTTGAGTTGTGTTTCCAGCTGAATAAGCATTATCTATTTTATTTTTTATTTGCTTTCCCACCCACACGTTGTCAAAGCTGTTCGTCTTTTTGCTTTCTGCTTGCACTTAATGGAACGCTCTGTATGCATGCGTAAATCATTATGGATAAAGGTATCAGCTCAACAAATTTCTATGGATAGTAATAATATTCTTTCTTCTTCAGCTGCTGGAATCCCTCTTTGAAGTGAACAGTGGGGTTATTCCCTCTCTGACTTCTGAATATGCGGACTGCAGATATATGCTTGTACCTATGTTATCTGTAATTTGGTCAAGATAAGGAGGACTTCTGGTGCTACTAGAGAACAATGTGTGATCCTGGCGTGGGAGGGGTTAACTACAGGTTCTGATCGCCAGGAGTTAACGTGCTTCTGGAGACACTCCGGTGGTGTTTTCTGGGGGAGCTCAAGACAGCATCCTTTTCAAATATCTTCAGCAAACCAGTCCTGCTGTCCCAGGCCTTTACTCAGCACTTTACCCTCTTCCTCAAAAATATAAAGACCACGAGAATTTTTTTTTTAAATGTGATTTGTGCACAGAAACATGGGATTTAACGGTTCCAGTTCGCTTAAACTACTGCAGCGCTCTCGGGGTCACATGGGTATGCGCCCTCGCCACTGTTACCTCAGGTCGGCCCCACACCGCTGGGGACTCAAACCCGGGCCTCCGGCATTACTCAACAGGGACCCAACCAGTTGAGCTAAAGGGAGATCGCCCATCAGCCTGGCGGCTGAGGTCCCTGCTGCTCACAGGGAAGGGCAGTGAACTAAGAACTATTTGACAACGGTGTTTTTTATTTTCAATTTGTTTATTGTTTTTTCAGGGAAAAGAAAGAATATTACATGGTACCATATACAATAATGAATCAATCATCATGGCACGAAAGACTTGGTACCTAAACAAACTGTGTAAATCCAACAACAACATAAAATGTTAAAAGAAAATAGTTTTGAAGGTTTTCCACCATTTCACTAATGACATGACTGGTAGCCCAGTGGTCAGTAAAATAAACTATAAACTGTCCATGATGCTGTAAAATGGGTAAAAATGATGCTGTAATAAACAGGTCTCTACAGGGTATTGAAGTGTTCTGAACTCAAAGGTACTGGTTATCAGTAGACGCCAGTTGAACCTTCTGTACTGAGAGCTCCACTAGGATTGATTGAACTACAGAGACTAGTTTCATGTTTTTATATGTGCTTATTTCAGATTTCAGGAATAGGAATCCCAGACTCCTCCTTTTTTTCAGGGAAGATTAGCGAGGTTTGTCAGCAATTGAGTCAAACCCTCGAACAACAGACGGTAAATGACGAGCGCTTTAAACAGAATAACAACCAGTGGAATTGGACTGCAAGAATAAAGACTGGACAAGAAGACAACGTTAACTAGATTCTGGACTTATAAAACAGGTAGGAATGAAGCTGGAGCCAAACCTATCATTTGCAAAGCGAACGCAGTCCAAAGAAATGCCGACACCGTGGTCCAGAGCTTGATACTATATCCCATGGGGGCGCCCCCTAGTGGAGTTTATAGCTTTTGACTGCGATGTGAAAACATGAAAGCAGAGGAAAAGTGAACTTGACCGCAAACGTTTGGTAATAGAACAGCAAAAAAGAATAAATCTGGGAAATTGGCATTTCATCCAGTGCAGACTACATAAAAACAACAAAACACAGATTCGGAACAGGTAAAGGTAGAGATTTATGCCATGCTGAAAGGAAAAGAAACGAAAAATTATCGGTTGTCGTCTTCATATATTAGACAAAAGAGAACAAAACACAAATATAACACATGCAAGGTACATATTATTCAATAAATGCAACATCCAAGACCCTCATACTGAGGTGCCTAATGCTCTCGAGGTAAGGGGCTATTTCAGAACCAAGCAGTTCTACAATTGAGGCTCTCTGGCCAAAATGTATTCACCATCTGAGGAATACACACAGCATACAGCCGAGGAAGACTCCTGTGCCTCGCAGATGGTACCAGAATCACGAATTTCTAGTTGGAGGCGCTATTGTTTTTTGTTTTTTCTGTCAGCGTTTAATCCAATAACGATGACAGCGAGGATCAACATGATGGCGACTTCGGCCAATAGTGGATTTATCAAGGATGCATTTCAGGGAGTTACACTGGTTAAGAAACACTGTTTGGACTAAATTGGTAGTACTATTACCATACACAATTAAAAGGTGACGTTTTCCGCCCTGGTTTCTCCAGAGCACAGCGGACTAGAGAGCATGTGTGTCTGCCCCCTACCTCTTGAATGGGACACTGCTGGTTTCATGCGGCGCAGCCTCCTAGAATAAAGTTATTTTTAGTTGGAACAGTCACTCGGGCTGTTTGTATGTATGAACAGGAGGATCTGATCTAATTCCTTTTCTCGCCTTTTTTTTTGTTTTAAAACTGCTGCCTCTGAGTTCTTTTGTTCGCGACTGTTACTCGCCTGTTTCCAGGGCCTGGCTGTTGAGTTTACATTTTTAATCCGTGATAACGGCTCCCGAGTCATTAGTAATCCCTTGGTGACAAATACCGCATTACAGATACGAAAGCGAAGCCGCCCGGAGGCGTGGAGGCCGTACCAACTTTTAATCCCTGACTTTAACAAGGAACAATGTGTGGAAAGAGATCACGCTTTTTATATTTCCTAAGATATATAGAAAACAAATGTTGTATTACAATTATCAAGGTAAAGGTTTATTCCATTCTGAAAAGAGAAGAAACGAAAAACACATTTCGGCTGTGGAGTCTTCTTCGGGTGTGAGCAATATAATTATATCGCTATATTGCTAAATATATTATAATGATCATACTCAAATATTTAATAAATAACGTCAGAACTAAAATAGAAGGACGTATTTTTGTTGGAAATCAAAAATGATGACACAAAGTAATGTTATACCACTGTGAACCTTTCCCTGTGTAGCATCTCCTACCAGTATAACATTGCAGAGCAGGCTTACTCCCAGTTACTGTTACTGAAAGTACATTAGGAAAGAAACTTACGATTTCAAAATCTAAAAAGCTCTGTCTTACTTGTTTCCGATATGAATGGGAATTTATTATCCCCGGGGGGCGGTGTTTTTACAGCAGCAGTGTTGGTGTACAGACGGACAGAAGAAAAAAACGACAGGAACAACAATGTACAGACATATTCCCCTAGAAGGTCGAGTGTTGGATATGGCCACAGGCATGAACGAGAATTGAAATATGATGGTTTTGGAGATGGGGAGTCGGTATCTGCGTTCTGATGGGAGTAACTGGAAATTATTAAACAAGGATCTGACATATTTTCATATTAAACAAACCTTCTGACAGATTTTCACCAGGCTGCCCGGTTTGTTCTTGCTTCTCAGATTCAGGTCGCCAAAAGGAACCTGGGTTCAGCTATATACCAGTTACTGTTTTCGACGAATTCGTATCGATTTTAATAATAATAATAATAATAATAATAATAATAATAATAATAATAATAATAATAATAATAATAA